ACTCACCCCCATGCTGAACAACACTCTGGAGTACTTTTTTGATATCTCAAATGCATCTGGAGATCTGGGAGGCTTCTTGCTGTCTGCTGACATTCACATAATGGAGGTCTATGGTGCCCGAGTCAGAAAGGTCCATAAAAGTCCACAAAAAACGTGTCAATATTCCTCCATACTGCTCGTCCAATGTATTCCAAGTGTCCTGAGTGGGTAGCGTCCATAATTTACTCGAAACGAAGTCATTTAGAATGTTTTTAGAGCATAAACAGTAGTGTATAGGATTTCCTGAAAGCACGCGCCGGCGCGTTCATGACGCTACGGAAGCCGGCAGACCAAACCAGATGAAAGTGCGCAAGTACTCCAGAGTGTTGTTCAGCATGGGGGTGAGTAGAAAATGAAGGCTAATCATGTTTTGGATGTACTATTCCTTTAAGAAAGGTTGGTGGCTTAGCAGTCTGAACCTTAAATCATCAATCTCAGCCACTAACCTGTTCTCTACCCTCCAGAGGCTCTGGCTCCCCTGACCCTGAAAAACCTGCATTTTTTCCCCTCAATAAATCTTTTAAAGTTATTTCCTGTTGTGTTCTGGTAGTTTCTGGGTCCTCAGTCTGAATCTAACCTAGTTGATACCTGCAATACAACCTATCAAACCCTGAACTGATTGCAGGTGAAATTCCTGAATTAACTGTACATTTAGTGTATTTAAAAGTGGGGGGCAAACTCCCACACCAAACTGTTGTAGTCATTTGGCAGAGGAGACAACTGCCTGTTTGCATCCAAGCATATTTAGACTCTCAGGGATAACAGTGGTGGACATATCCTCTATTCAGCAGTAACATTTTTCACTACAAGGTTATGGATTTTGCACACCATCACTTTTCAGCAAAACAATGTCATGTCTAGATGCAATAAAGCAGACCTTATGTACAGCCCTAAAACGGTTGGACAGATATTTTGTGCAGTGAGGCTGCAGTCATTTTTATGCAAATAAACAAAAACAAAAAACTCAACCATTACTGAGCTTACCGTAATTATGTTAGTATGTTTATTAACAAAAACGAAACACTAACAGCTGCCAGGAAGCAAGAAGCCACCACTGCGCCTGAAAAGGGACACTGGGGGGTCTGAACACACAAAATAAGGCACTTCTGTATGCTTCGAAGTTAACACTATCTTAGCACACGAGTAATTGATATAAAAAGAAAGTGAAATGTGTTGAATTATCATTGTTCTACTTTAATTTGCAATTTTTTACGAGAACTGGGTGTTGTGAATACATCTGCTTAGGGGTTGATTTCACTGTAAGTCAAACAATAGTGCCCATCACTGTCTTTTGATCACCTTCTTTTACACATATTTAGTGTTGTTGCATTAAATTAAGGAACAGAAAAATTTTAAATAAATTACTCAACTTTACAAAATAGTTGATTTGCTTCACTGTAAAAAAAAACACAACTTCCTCTTTGGGCTGAAAAACTATTTTCCCTTGTGTAAACCTGAAAAACTAAGTTTTACACGTAAGAACAAATATTTCAGTCAGTTCAGAAAACCAAGGTAGCTGTAATCTTTAACATTGTTTAATTTGTTGCATGTACTAATACCTTTAAGTTTCTTGTTATTCAAACAATTGAAAATTCTTCTAACGTTGCTTTTGTTGAGAATACAGGAAAACCAACTTTTGGGGTCTGCTTTTGATTTAAAGCCTCAATGTTCCTTTAATGTTTAATTTTAACAATACAAACTGCTGCTATAGAGATGCTGCTGACTGAAATATCATTGTATGTTCTGTGCAATAAAAAAATAAATCTTATCTAAATGTAAAGTTGCTGCAAATCATAGTTAGGCTTAGTTGGTGCATTCAGCAGCATTGCCTAGAGATCATGTGAAGCACAGGCATTTTCCCTCCTTCCATTTGCTATCCAATGTTCATGTTATCCCTATTCTTATTTTGGATCTTACTAGATGAGGACCTAGAAAGTAAAGAAAAACCACCCACTGAATACATAAAAAAAAAGATGTTGGAATAATAATATGAATCAGGAATGAGACAACAAGCATTCAGACATCAACAGTTAAGGCGAACATAGATGTCAATGAGATAGTGCTGCACAAAATAGTATGGTGGCAGAAGAAGGCAGAATATAGTGGCAAAGTAACAACACATTGCCAGCTAAAGAAATACCAACAGAACAAAAGACAAAATAGAGATGCTGAGGAAAATTAAGGCCTTAATGCTGGTAGTGGTCATTGGATTATCAGGGACTGTAAATCCCAAAATGGGAGTTTTGGATTTACACACATCAGATTTTTGTTACAAAAAAAAAAAAAAAAAAAGCAGAGGTCAGCCCAGACGGAAGACACTTTCGGAAACTATTCTACATATTAAAGACCCACTTAATAAACCATTACCTAGCCATTGCCCAGCTCTGGATCAAACTCACTGTAGAGATGCTCCGATCCAACACCCGGATAGGATTTTAGGTCAAATGTCGACCAATTAGCT